GCCTCCCGTCCCTCACGCCTGCCTGCACCCCCTGGGGTATGTCCCAGCACCTCCGTGCAGCCGCTGCGCCACAGCAGCCAGTGAGAGGCTGAAACCCCATCTCCAAACCCGTGTATTTTTACACTGGAGCACAGAGGGGCTGCTCAAGGCAAGGAGCGGGGTGGGGGGTGCCTCACAGCCGCTGCTGACCCCTCCTTACTTTCCCTCCGCCCCTGCACTGCCCACTTCTCTGAGCATCTCTGAAAGGCATGCCTTCCCCTCTCTGACACGATACCCTGCAGGTGACTCAAAGCCCCCCCTCCCCCAATCTGCCGGACCCCTGTGCCGGGGCTGTTGGAGTAATGACAGGAGCCTGGAAGGGAAGGTGCTGGTCAAGGCCACATGGGCACGGAGCTGGGGAGGGAGGCAACCCCAGGCGGGGGTTGGGGCCCTGTCGGGGAAGGCAGACAGCATCAGGGGGCTGGGGTGTGAAGCGGAGCAGAGTGTAGGCAGATGGGGCAGGAGCCATCACGGTGCTCCGAGCCCAGACCCTGGGCCAACTCCTCAGGAAAGTGGGTCCCCGGTGTTCCTGGCAGGGGTCCCCCTTGTCTCTGGAACTTGAGGAGCAGCCTCTGTGGGGGTGGGGGTGGGGGCAGGGCCTCTGTGGAGACAGATGGTCGGGAAGAAAATGCATTTCATCACACAACCCTGACCAGGCAAGAGTGACCAGCACGCAGGACGGAACACTGGTCTGAGGAAGAAGCGGGCACCCCAGGCTGGGCCGTACCTCAGGTTCACTCCCTGGAGCCTCCACAGGTGAGCCCGCAGCAGGCTGGGCCCTGGGGGCTGGACTCTTCTTGCCCACGGTCACGAGGGAAGGGGCCGTGGCGTCAGGGAGGCACATAAGTGTCCCCTGCGCTCACAGCCATGGTCCTGCCCCAGCTCTGATGGAAGACAGCCGAGAGTTTCCTTCTCACTTTGTTTCTGCTCTCCCATGCTGTCGGGGCTGGAGCAGGTCGCTGCCCTGGGGTGCCAGAGGCCCTCCGTGGGACAGATGGGATCGGCAGGTGCCAGGCCTCCCTGGAGGGAGCGAAGGGGCACCCAGTAGGGGTTTCCTGGGAGGGCCAGAGCAGGGTGGCTGTCTCCTCTGTCTGCCATCTGGAGCGACTCTGTGGGGCCACAAAGGGGACTCTGCGTGGCAGGGAGTCTCAAACCCAGCATCATATGGTCTTTGGCACAACCCTGCTTTGGATCAGGGCTTCTTGGCCTCAAGGGGCCAGTTTCTGGAGGGCACGCAGAGAGCTGAGCTAGGGGCCATACGCCTGTTCTGCCAGCTGGCCAGGGTGCCACAGCCAAACACACATGTCCCGAATGCCAACCTCTCGCTGAGACGCCTCTCCCCTCATTCTGACTCCCTGGAATGCACCCCCACTACCAGTGCCACCGCCATTCACTCACCTCCTCTGTGCCCTGGCCCCATCCTGGACAGCGGCCACGTCCAGGTGCCTTCGAACTCCCTCCTGGATCTTTCTCAGCTGTGTGGAAGTTTCCTGCCGAGCTCTTGCCTCTCTGTGGCCGGCTGCAGTTCTGGGAACTGGGAGCTGTTCACCGGTACCCAGGTCCTCTTCTGGGCACTCACAGGGCCACACATCCCACCAAGGGCAGCACTGCCCCCTCACCACAGGAGCAGAACTGGCAGGTGGGCAGTTTCCAGCTGGTTCACCTCATGGCCTCACTACCTGCCGTCCTTCTCAGGCTCCAGAGTGGGCCAGCCTCCCCCTGCCAGGATGGGACACCAGTCACTCCGATCCGGAACTGTCACCAACCTTGCCTGTTTCCCCTGGGAGAGTCTGAGTCCTGGCCGGGCCACCGATCCCCAGCTTAGGGCCTCGGCAACTGTCAGGACTGAGGGGGTCACAGCATGGTGGTGAGTGTAGGAGGCTAACAAGCAGAGAGACAGGGACGGAGACCCACAGAGAGGGACAGGGAGGGCAAGAGGAAGATGGAGAGAGGCTTGGAGGGTCAGGCAGCATCCTCGGACCCCTGGCTCAGGGCTGCGTGTGGAGCTCAGCCAGGCCCGGATCATGGAGTCGGTGGGGCTGTGGAGTCCCCATCCGGCTGAAGACCCTCCGCCGTCCTGATGAGCTTGCAAGGCTCTGGTGCCACAAAGGCAGCACTCTGCCCAACCTGGCCGCCCTGAGTCAATGCAGTGTCTCCCTGTAGGGGGCTCTTGAGGTTACCCAGGGTCATTGGTTGCGGGGCCTGCTCTGGACTTGGCTGAGGTCACCTGTGGGATCCTGCATGGGGTTGACACAGATCGGCTGTGATTCACCCTTCAGGCCCATCTGGTGGCAGCAGAGGTGGAGGGAAGAGCCTCTCTTTCCTGGACCAGACCTCTGCCTCCAGCATCTACACCCGGGTACTGAGGACACGGGAAGGGCCAGGCTGAGCAGGACCTGAGCCGGGGCTCAAGTCAGACCCTCAAGACCTTCACGTACTGGGCTACAGGTGACCACAGAGTACACATCCCTAGAGCCGCTGAAGGCCTGGGTCTAGAATCCATTCCTGGGGGTCAGCCAGGGCACACTAGCTCAAGGGGCTCCTTGCAGCCTGGGCTTGAGTCCCATGTCCTGCCCCCAGGCTCACCCTTTGGGCAGCACACA